CTTTGGATTCACTTCTCCGCCAGTCCTACCTTTCAGCAAGTGGTTGATTTTCTGTTTCTAGAATTGCTGTTCTTCTTCTCTTCGATCTCCCGTTGGATTTGTAGGTGTTTGCAATCTTTAGATAAGCTATCTAGCTGATCTCCCGCAACCTGAAGTAGTCTCAGCTGCTACTTCTCCGCCATCTTGACTCCTCCGGCCCAGCCTAGTTCTCTTAATGCGTAATTATCGTCAGTCCAAGTATATGGAACACCCATTCAGTGAAAGACACCAGAGAATTAAAAGGGTCACTGCCCACCTAGAAGTTTATAGACTACCTGGAGCCAAGACCACAAGACTGATGTACGCTACGCACTGCTGTATGTGGCATGGAAGCAGGAGGCAGGATCACCTCCAGCCTGTGAGCGTCTGTGTGGCTGGATGAGTGGCATGGCAGGGCAGGTGGAAGGAATTTGGTGAGCTAAAATGACTAGGCTATGTCCAGGCATTCAGTTTAACCCATGCATGGTTCTCAGATTCAAAGCTAAGCTGCCTTTCCAGACCAAGTAATGGCCTCAGATGCCATTTGGCTTGCTAAAGACAACCTTTGGTTTTGAACTTCACACCTTTTAAAACTGAGGTGTTTATCCTAATGATCATAAACACCAAATTAAAAAGGAATCCATTTAGATAAGTAGGCGTAAGCATAAAGGATTCTTAATAGAACTCTACATTTTTCACTGATTTCTAGTAAGAAAATAAAATCCACCAAGTCATGGAGTGTATTGCTGACCTTTTTTTTTACTTAAATATAGTGATCTTTAAGAGAATAAACAAACAAAAACTTTACACAGCAAATATTTTACATAAATGTAAACATGCACATCTACTTCATAATTATGCAAAATAAACTTTTAGGCATGAGATTTTTAAAAATCATTAAAGAGTAAGACAACAAACCCAAGACAGGACAGAAGCAACAAAAACACATTTCATAACGCTTCAATTGGTCTTGTCTTCCAACCTACTGGTTAAGGCCTGAGTTTCAGAATTTCAAATTCCTTGCCAAATGGAAACCTCCAACTTGGCTGTACCTAATATACATCCACATAACAGACTATTATCTTTCAAAATAATGTAATAAATACATCTCTCTCACACATACACATACACCCCCCCCCATACATACACCCTACTTAACCAGCCTCTCAATAAAGATAGCAAGGATTTTGGAATTTTCAAGTTTTCCCACCACTGAAGTACACACTTATTAATACCACACAGAGAAAACAATGATTCTGCTCTAGAAATAAAGTAGTTAATGAGTGGCATCATCACACATCTCTAATTTGTATTACATTTCTCCAAATCACATCTTTACTGTGGCTTGCCATGGCTCCTTGGGTACCTCAGATTTAAGTCTTTATACCTTGCCTAAAGACCCACGGTATGGTAGAAGTTGTACAGGACAAAGAAAAGGCAATTTGAACAATTCAGTTAGAGACTTTGAAACCAAGAAAATCAGCATGGATCGTTTCCAGCTGTCTCCAAATGCTTGGAATGTTTTCTCCATGTCTACCTTCTGTACTCCACTGGTTGGTTTTCTCTCCCTCCTCCCCACCAGGCTATAAGCATCTGAATTATCTATTCCTGTGGACACCCCAAGGAACAGAGATGAGAAGGACAGTCCCTGCTTTTAAGGAGTGCACAGCAACCAGAGCTCAGGGAAGAGGAAGGTCAGTATGTCCACACAGCACTCTAGTGGGCAGAAACGAACAGGGGAAGAGTCCATGAGGATGGCATCTCCAGAGCGTCAGGACTGGGGCTTGGCGGGGGAGAGGGGAGGGAGAGACTGAGAAGGCACAGAGGCATAAAGACCAAGTCCAGTGAGGCTGGCATGAGGTTACTCATGAGAAGTGGTCTCTGAGGCCAAATTCTTGTTTTCTGAAAAGAAAAGATTCCTTGTTCTTGTTCTTGTTCTGGTGGGTGAAGCTAGAGGGCTGAGTGAGGGAACTGAGGGGGTTTTGTGCAGAGAACAAAATGGAAACAGGCTAGAGGAGAACCATGCAGTGTGAGACAGGATGGGTGACAGAGGAAAGGGTCTGAAGCCGAGAGAGCTCGAATCACCAAACCCAGTGCCACATGCAAGCATTTCCTATAGAAACAAACATCTTGACCCAACATACCAAAACCACAATTCTGTCTGTATAAATCAAGACTTTGGGAGGAAAAAAAGAGAGAGAGAGGTTTAAATAGATATTTTTAGTTCAAGTTCCTGGAACCTGCCCCAAGTTGAGCAAGTTAAGAGCTGTGAATCAATTCCAATATCCAGTAATAAGTCTCCCAGTCATGACTTTCACCTTCCCTGAGCTGTCATTACCAAGGAATTATAAAACAATTATCAATTCATTATAAATAAATTCCTACCTGCCACTAAACCCACTGAAACCTCATGATGGGTTAAGAACCCACCATAGAGTACTAGTCTGTTACCCTATTATCTGTACTGGGTGGGGTGGTGTGAGAGTGCCGCTGGATGATGGTGCCAGGCCCACATCTCCAGCTCACCCGGAGGCACTGTGTCCATCCAACAGGTGACTCTATAAGGTGCAACTCTCACCAGAGCCCCCACTGTGAATCATCTACTTCCTTCCAGGTCCAGACTGCTTCCATCCACTAACAAAGGAAGCAGAGGCCATCTTTGAGTGGAGGAACCCAAGGAAGGAAAATCATTTTTAATGTTCTTGATACCCAGTGAACCAAAGTAAATAGAAATTTCTCAGGACCTTCAAATTGTATTCATTCCAATTATAGAAATGGGCTATTCCATACTAATCACAGGACAATTTATCACACATTCACTCGAATACGGAACATTTACTAGTGACCAGTTTCCTGTAAGATTCACGTGGAAACCGCACATGGCAAAAAGGCAATCTTGTGACTTTCTTATATCAAAAATACAGATCGGTCGGGGAGTCAGGCACAAACAGTGGTAGAAAAGCATGAACAGAAATGTCTTCTCAAAGAATGTGCTCATTTCATATTGCAGAACTGCTTCCTATCTAGATTCTGGTTTTTGAAAACCTGCTGCTGGTTCTTTTGTTCAGAAAGGTTCCTTCAGTACACCTCTCTTCCACTCCTACCTCCCCCTACTAGAATGCACTGAATAAAGAACCCTTAGTATGGGTCTGCATGGAACTAGGAGCCCCCATCTGACTGTACCTTGAGTGTCAGCATAGTGGCTGATGGTTTAACCTGCTCACCCAGCCTCATGGAGTTAGGGACTTTCTGGATCAGAATCTGAGTCAGAAGTACCCAACACTTCTGTCTTTTAGAATCCAATAAAAGCTCCAATGTACAACTATCAGTGTCAAGCATAATAATCTCCAGTTCCAATAAATGAGATTCAAGGGAGGGAGCAGCAGGGAAAGCCTGGACTGGGGACACGAGACTGGCCGTAGCCAACCGTGGGCTTCTCTTTATTTGTAAATGAGGGGGTTGAACTAGCAGAGCTCCAGGGTCCTGCCCGGCGGATGCTCTAGGACTCTCTCTCGAAGTCTGTTTCTACACAGCTTATCAGGCTGGGTCCAACAAAACTTCCTTACCACTTTGTTTCAACAGTGTAAAGTGGTTTTAACTACTTCAATGCTGCAGTTTGAGGTTTCCCTCCCTCTCCTACCCCTCAAAGACCAGGTTTCATTTCACTGGTGCAAACCACTTGGCCAAACAGGTGGCTGCTGAGGTTCAAAACGGAATCACCGGCCTGGTAGAGATAAAGGCCTTTGAGTAACCTAGACCAGGGCACATTGGTCTGTTGTCCATGAACAGTGTTAATCAAATAGAAATATAATTCTGTTAGTTCTTCCACAGTTCTACTTTGCAACAGGAGATTGTTCGGAAATTATACGAGAAAATCACCCACCACCACTAAGTTAAAGACTTGAATATCTGAGACCTCCAGAGCCTCAAACTCCTACACAGTCACTGATCCACAGTGTGTCCCTCACAGCACGGGGCTCTGTGCGAGCGCAGCCGGGTCCAGCAGCACTTCTGTGCACGAGAAGCTGATTTCGAAAGAGCCGCGTCTAGTCATCACTGTCACTGCCAGACTCACTCAACTGCAAGTCATTTCCTATAAAAAGAAAACAGAATCACACCAAAAGTATACAATTTCAAAAGGACTTCCCCACAGTTCTTTGTCTGACTGCCTTGGTTATCACACTACAGTAAAACCAGGCCAATTCCACTTAATTAGGGAGGAAAATCAATTTGGCTCAGTGACAAAACTGATGCAATTGACGTTTTTAAAGAAATGCCATTCTTGGGAGCTGCAAACCACAGCGATGCTGCTTACTGGGATAGTACAGGCCAGGAGCAGGCCAGACAGCTTTTAAATGTGCTAATAAATAGCAAGCCAAGCATTTATAAATAACTGATTCACCATCTAGAATGGTCCATATTAAGTTGCTTTATAAAAGCTAAAATAACATGGAGTTAGGCTTCCTGGTAAGGAAGCTGAATATTGTTTATACCAGGAACATGCTAATCCAGGATTCCCTCTAGGACACCTCTGTCCAGGATATTCATGTTACTTTAAACCTCAACTCAACTAATGAGCTTTCGTAAAGCCCCTGATCTTTGTTTAGTGTGCTGAATTTAGGTTTTAGGAGTGAAGAACAGAAGTACTCAACATTTCAGTCTCAGATGATAATAAGAGTTAACAGAACCCCAGCAGACACCACAAAAGTGAACTACGACAAGAGCTAGGCCAGCTCTTCTCAAAGTCTGCTCTGAGGACCTGGGGACCTTTCCGGAGGGTACTTTCTTTTCTACTCCACGCCTGTGTGATGCCTGATTTTCTTCACCTACATCAACCTGAACAACTTAACGGCATTAGACTGAATGCAGAAATGGGTGTAGAATCCGGCTTTCTACTAAGCCCGACATAAGAGCTGTAATATTGTAAAGCAATGTTACTCTTCTTACTAAATATTTTCTGATTAGAAAATTTGTTCTTCATAAAAATGTTACTTTTGTTACCATGTGATGGTTATTATTACTTTAATTGAATTACTGAAATATTTTAAATATTTCTCAGTTTTAATTTCTAATGTGGTAAATATTGATAGATCTAAGCCACATACACAAAAGCCCTTTGGGGTCCTCAATAACTTTTAGAATTAAGAGGTCTGAGACCCAAGAATGTGACGACTAATGTTCTAAACTTAAGGAAGTCAGTGTGGGCCTGGCAGCCACTCCTGTCAGCTAAGCTGAGCACAACTGCTTACACAGTAAGATGCGGTATATTTAATAGGTCAGTGTAAATGGAACTAAAAAAATCTAGTTTTGAAATTGCGTATGTAATTGATTTGATTCAGGTTCAAATTGATCCATTTATTTATTTTTGAGAAGAGAAAATATAACCTAGGTTACTACTCAGAAAAACAATATTATAATGACTCTATGTATTTTTATATCAGGGTTAGCAAATTTGCATTATTTACTGTGATTTTAGGATTTATAAGTTGGTTCCAGTTGACAGTCCTGGTGTAAATAACCCTAGTATTTTACGGTCTGTGAGATATGCCAAGTTAAGGAACTGCTATTTGAAGAATGAAGAACAGTGTAACTTGGAGCCATAAAGAACTAAAAGAATTTTAAGGCACTGGTAGGCAGGTAACACCCACGGCGCCATTTTTTTTGCTCTTTCTTTCTAAAAGGAAAGGGTAATTTAGCATTAACTGGGCAAAATTAAGAACTGACTTAAAGCCACAGTAGCTGTCTGGTACTTTTCCACTGTGAACACCAAACTCCCGATGTGAAACTCATTATTCCCCCAAGCCAACTGAGAAGAGCACCGAAGCACACCCTGATACCTAGAATGTAGGCCCCACAAAACGGGAGAGTAGACAGGATCCTTCACTGGTAACCTAACAGTGCTGGACTCAATCAAGGAGAAAAGCAGGGCCTTGAGTAGTGTTTCTCTGGTGGGGGTGGTTTTGTCCCCCAGAGGACATCTGGAAATGTCTTGAGATATTCTGGGTTGATACAACTCGGGCAGAAGGGAGGAAGAAGGCCACCTAGTGGGTAGAGGCCAGGAATGCTCTTAGCCATCCTGCAATACATATGATTGCCCCTCCCCCAACAAAGATTTCTCTGGCTCACATCTCTAGTGCTGACGTTGAGAATTACCTTTCCTTGGTCCACAGTAGTAGGGTTAACTAAGTTAGCTTCCCCACTATTGCCTCCAGACCTTCCAGCCTCCTCCAAGGCAGTCATGCCAGGTGAGAGCATTCATTAGGATTCTGGAGAGAGGGGGGCACAGGAAGCAGCACTTGCCCCATATCCAATAAAAGAAATTTGTGTTTGTTCTTGTTTTGCTCTTCTTTACTTTAGTACCAACTGCACTGAGAGCCACCCAGACACTGCAATGCCCCTTCCTCTCCTTTTTGCCAACGGCTGGTTGGTTTCCAAATACATCCTAATGGCTCAGGTTTCCAAGTCTGTGGGCTGTGGGCCACCAGTCTGGAGTTCTCAGGACTGTACAAAGATCTGGAGGCAGGGGGCAGTATGGTGGTAGGCAGCACCCCAAAAGCCTGGCAAATGCAAAAATATAGAGCCAAGATGTTCATGTTTCAGCATTTTCCAGACTTCACAAGACCTTATTTGTGCCGGTAAGGGAAAAAAGAGAAAAACAGACTTCTTAGTTTTGTACTTCCCTTTTTTTACTCTTTGGTAACTTACTCCTTTCTGCTCCAAATTTTCTTTGTCGGGATCCTTTCTTATGCCTTAAACCTCTTCTGGTGTATAGACTTAGATGAGAGATAAACAAAAGCCACACCTCTGGCCTGACATGCGCCACTCCCACTGCCCCAAAGCCAGAAAAAGGGAGTGCACACTTACTGAGCGTGTTCATGAGCTGGCTGCTGCCTTGTGGCCGGCTGGTTCCATTGGCAACGGCTGGCCTGATACTGTAGGGCTGCTGATGTGCAGGCTGCAGGGGGGACGCCGGGCCATTGTCCTCACCCCCACTGCTGGAGCTGTCGTCATCACTTCCTGACGAGCTCTCCGAGTCTGAGGAACTGCTCCCGCTGCTGCTGCTCATCTGTTCAATAATGTCAACTTCGGCCCTCAGCTCTGGAATAAAATGACATGACCGGGGTGAGCACAGCAACCCCTCTCAAGGCCACACATGGAACCTTCTGTAGACAGAGAAGTGGCAAGACCAACAGCAACGAGGAATAACTTAAAACTCCTGCTTAATTTCCTAAAAACGTACAAACAAAATGACTAAAACCAACACCAACAAAATAACACTCTGTCTTCAGAGAGACAAATAACCAAACAGAAAACCGTTTCAGATAATGGCTGTTCTGTGTAAGAAATGAATCAAGTCTATTTGCCTTATCTACTTAAAAAAAAAAAAAAAAAAAAAAAAAGATTGTGAATTACAGGATTAAACACCAAGTAAGAAAAATATTATGCTAAGGGGTTGAAAAATATTTGATTAGGCACTGGAACATCTGGATGCTTGTTTTTGGAGCTACTTCTAACCAGCAATGAGACCTAGATGGTAGTCAATGAATTTTCCGAGACACTGAAAAAAATGAAAGGCCAGAGCGGGCGGCCTCTGAAGTCCTTTTCAGCTTTCTTATCCCACAAAGAAACTGAGGTGGGCAGGGGTAACCACAGTAACTGATGGAAAATGGGGAAATGACATTCTTCCTCTGCTCTCTTTCTATACTTCCCCAATAGCCAAGCCCGTCTGGTACTACATTTTCTACCAATGAACAGCAGGGAAGGAAAAACATGTTTCCCTTCCAGTGTCGCTGAGTACATTAAGGACACATCATAGGATACATTAAGATGCCAGATTTTCCTGTCCAAACATACTATGTGGTTTTAAACAAGTATGGTTCCTTTAGGCGTAACTGGCAATAACCAACCACTCATAGTCCAATTCCTGATCAGCTAAAGTGAAAACTTTGATAAACAGCATGAGGAAAACAGAAATAGCAGCTTAATGAATGTGCACTGCACAGAGAATGATTCTGTTTACTACGAGAGCACTTCTACAAGATAAAAAGGGAAGCTTTTTATCTTAAAGGACAACTCTTTATCTTTCCCTTTTTACCACTACTACAGATTTACTTCTGTTTCATAGAACTTTACAAATCTGGAATACGACACTTAGTCTCATAACTTCCCAAAGAGTCTGGACAATTAAAACCACTGTATGGGGAGAAAGCCAAGGTGATCCTGGCCTGGGGTCTAACTGGAGAGAGCCTGACCAGATCTCTAGGTCTTTCTAGGCTGTGTCCATTGCCAGGTCCCCGTGGCACTTTCATGTTCACATGCTTTGTGTTAGCACAAAGCACTGGTCCTGGTATTTTCAATTGTTTTTCTGACCTAGATACTATACTAACATTGACAGACCTGGTTTTCACCCCAACACCTTGGAATTCTCTTCTCCCAAAGCTTTAAAGGCATGTTGTATAGACCTTCAGGGGGCAGTCATGCTTGTTTATATCCTGGACCTCTAAGCAAAAAGCTGCAAGACAGCCACAACTCCAGTCACTATTTCTGGACCCCCTTAATCCAATGAGGCAAGTGGCAACAGCCCCCACCTGCATCACCTCTGGAATGGTGAACTCTGCAGAAATTTCAATGGCAGAAAATGCCCATGCCGTCATGTCAATACAAGAGCCTTGTGATCGCCACAAAAACACCCGAAGTCCCACTCCAAGTTGCTATTGTTTTCCATAAAATGCTGCTTACCTCTTTTGATGTCATCCAGCTGGGGTTCAGGTGAGGGGTTATCTTTCAAGGGTGAAGTTTTGGGTCCTACTGGAGGCTTTGTCGGAGCTCTGAATGGCATAGGTGGTGGAGGTGGTGGTGGCTGCGGTGGCTGTGGGGGACGAGTGGGCTGCTGTTCCATGCGAGCTTGGATTTTACTGCTCCCCTCGGCTCTGAAATGAGATATCCATGAGATAGCCTCCATTAAATTGGAGGGGCAAAAACAGTACTCATATCTGTTCAGGGAACCAAGTACCCATAGGTCTCTGCACATCCCTGTGCTCTTTAAAGACTACTTCAAGACACTGATGTTTGTAATGTTCTCACATGAGCTACCCATTCAACAACTGCCTGATTCCAGTACTGCACTGTGCACCAGACATACAGAGATGAACGAGACAGACATGCAATCCTCACGGGGCTCACGTTTAGTATGTAGGACACAAAGGGATTATGAGAACTCACAGACAACAGGATTATTCACTTGACCTGTGTACAATATAAAGTTACAGTCACAAGTATATGAGTTACTAAGTAAAACCAGCTCTTGAAATACTGGTTAGTTTGCACATTTTTGCGTGACCTATTACTGTTTGCTCATCTTGTCACATGCCAGCTCTTGCGGGCAGACAGGCAAAGCATTCCACCCCAAACGGAGAACATTTTATTCATTAACAATTTCTCTTGTAAATGGACTAGCCCAGCAAACTTTGGGTTTTTGAACTTTGGTGTACACACAAATCACTGGGGAGCTCATTAAAAGGCAGATTCTGACTCAGCAAGTCCTGAAATTCTACACTTTAAAAAAGCATCCAAGAGGTGCCAGGGTGGCTCAGGTCACCATCCCAGGACTGGGATGGAGTGGGGCTCAGTGGGGAGTCTGCTTCTCTCTCCCTCTGCTCCTCCCCCTGCTTGTGCTCTCTCAAATAAAATCTTTAAAACATTAAATTAAAAAATAAAAAAGCACCCAAGTGATAAAATGCTGCTAGTCCACAGATGACACTGAGTAGTGAGAGACACGTGTACCACCATCAGCTTTTGGAGGGTAACAGTGGCACTGGTTGGGGGAAGTAATTAACACACATCTATCCTACACGGGAGAGGAGCAGGAGCTTGGAAGTGGCATGCCTAGGGCAAGGCTCAGCTCTGGTGCTGACTCCATGGAGGTCACAAGCTCACTAGTAATCAGTCTCTTCATCTGTGTGTTGTTTTTTTTTGTTTTTGTTTTTTTTTTAAAGGGTAACAACAGGGACGCCTAGGTGGCTCAGTCAGTAAAGCGGCTGCCTTCAGCTCAGGTCATGATCTCAGGGTCCTGGGATCAAGCCCCACATCAGGCTCTCTGCTCAGCAGGGAGCCTACTTCCCGCCCCACCACCACCTACTTGTGATATCTCTGTCAAATAAATAAAATTAAATAAAAAAGAAGTGCTATATTTAAAAAAAAAAAAAGGGGGTGGGGTAACAATAGCATCTTTCTAAAAGTTATGTGTAAAGTTATGTAGAGTAACACATGAAAGCATTTGGCATAGCATTCAGCAGGTGATAATCCCTCAAAAAACTGTAGCTACTTTCTTGTGTAATGAGTACAGAAAAACGGCTTGAAAAAGCATAAACAGAAAAACATCAGTCAGGCTGTAGTTCACTCTAAGATTTTTAAATCTTAGCATCCATTCTAAGATTTCATGACTCTATTACAATAATTGCTGTATCACAATGTGAAAAACAGAACCACTGGGTTGCTTCTACGGAATAAATTTTGACTTTAAAATCTAGTTGGCTTCATATTAGACATGTAATACCTGCTGAATTAAGTTTTAAAAGAGCTCGCTACTCAAAAAAAAAAAAAAATAGGCAAAACTTTATTTTGGTATTATAAATACCTCAAATGCATCTTGTGAAAAAAAATTTTTTTTCTTAAAGGTTTTTATTTATTTGACAGAGAGACAGAGAGCCCCGACATGGGGCTCGATCCCACTGGGATCATGACCTGAGCCAAAGGCAGCCGTTTAACTGACTAAGCCACCCGAGTGCCTCCAATGTTTTCAATCTGAGAAAGAATAGATATCACTCTATGATTCTTTCATAATTACAAGTCTAGGAGTTTAAATCTTATCCCATTAGGTGGTATTATATCAACAATCATGAGATTAATAAAGTGGATTTAATTGTAAAGTACATCCTTTTCCCCAGTGACTTCCATGTTTCAGGCCTTAAAAGAATTATTTCTTTTTATTACATCTGAGTAAGTGGTATTTTACTGACTTGTCAAGAAAACAGAGGTAGAGCTGTTGAGATTACCAACAGGACACTGAGTACCTAGGGCTCACCTCCTTTTAAAATAAACTGAAGGATAATGCAAAGATACAGAAACCCTGTATCAGTCTCTATCTGGTTATTCACATACCTTGTTTTCTTGACCTGAATGCTGCTACTGAGTTTCTCCAGCACATATTCACCAGTGTCATGATTAATGATAAGCACACAGTCTTTCTGATAAGGCCGTTTGTTCCCCTTGAACACAGTCATTGGTGGTGTAGATCCCTAAATGCCACAAAAGTGTAAGACGATCAATCCAGACACACCAGTTAAATATTTACAAATGACCACCTCATCAAATCTTTTATTAGAGCTACTCAAATAGAACAGAATAAACAGATCTCTATTTTAATTCCTCTGGCTTTCTAGGCAAAAAGCAAGGGGAAATAATAATATAGCAAGAATCTGTAACTGTGCAACTGCTTCTCAGTAATCGAGAAAGGTAATATACATTTTTCTAAGGACTGAAAGTTTGTTACAAATAATGGCAAGATGTGAACTGATAAAAATAGATTAGCCATTACTCAGTATTACACTGAGTAGAACTTTCACTATGAAAGTAGAACCAGTAAGTGATCTCTGTATTTCCTTATAATTTCAGAGCCCGGGGCTTCCCCTCAGGCCAAGTAACCAACAGAGCATTCTCTAAGGACAACTCATTATTCTGCCTGGCTCAGAGTAATTATGCTACTCACCTCCCTAAGCCCTTCAACTGCTACCCTGTTGCTCTGAGACCAAAAAATAAAATCTTTAAACCAGACACCTGGCCCTTCTGCCTCATCCTGGACCACTCAGCCCTCAGTTCTGCGGAATCCAGAGCAGAAGGCGGCTGGCCTCTCTCCGATTCTCAAGCTCTTTTTCACAGGGCTTTAATGAGGCTTCTGCCTACATCCTGCCCCTTCTTCTCATTCAATTACTCAACCTTCAAATCTGCTCAAAGGCCACTTCCTTAGAGAAACCTTCCGTGATTTTCTGCTGTTTTTTTATATTTAATTCTAGACCATAAGCTCCCCAAGGGCAAGAAAAGTACTTATGTTGCTTAAGACTGTATTCTCGGTGCTTAGTAAGGGGCCAGCACACAGTAAGTGCTCAATTAATATCTGACATAAATAAAAATTAATATTTGACAACTATAGGATTTAATCTCTTATATAGAATAAAAGACTGCTTGGCTCTTTGACTCGCTATTCATAGAGACGGAAGGGACCTTAGAGACCATTTATCTAACCTCTTCATTTTACATTTTACATTTGGCAAACGAAGATCCAAAGGGAGATGATGTAACCTGCCAAAGGCAACAAGTAACAAAACAGCAGTTGGAACTGGCAGACAAGTAATCTTTCCTCCACGTGAAGCTTCTCATCCAGAGCCTTTTCATTCTGTCACTGGTTACCAAGACCTTATTATGTTCCAGCACCAGACTGCGACATGCAGTGACACATGTTCATTAAGAGTATTCTGTTTGATCCTTCAGGCTTTCTGATTACAGTGTTGCCTTGGGCAAAGCTTCAAACAAATCTCTCTGCAAGGGATCTCAACTTAGCTTTTAACTGGGTTCCTCATCCCTAAATGAGCTGACTGCTCTGTTACTCTGGTTCTTGCTTGAAACCTTCAGCCTAGACTTCACCTTTTGCCAGATATTTGAAGTATGTCAATCCTGTTCCTGCCTGCCTTAACTCTTGGCTTGCCTGTGCCATACTCCTAAACTGGTGTCGCTATAAATCAACATAGCATCTAGGGCTTTGCTTTCTCTTTTGGGGGCGGGGAGGGGGGGACTATGCAGATCTAAAAGAGGGGTGAGGGATCCAGAGGGGAACATCATCTACTTTGTAGCAAATGGGAGAAAAGGGAACTTGGGGAAAATGGCAAAGAATCATTTTTACTCAAGCACCCGGGAAGCATGAATTCCATCCAACCCCAACCCCAAAATCCCTTTTCCCCTTACGTTGGAACTTTAGAAATCTCAAGTTTTTCACATAGTAGGCAATTCAAATGGCAATACATAGAATATGAGGATTCACTGTGATTCCACAGTGCATAAACTTACAGGGATATGTGGCAGTGTAATTGTGACTTCATCTCCTTTGCCAACCTGAAGCTCTCCTTCACAAGAAGTATCTATAGATGCTGGCTTAAAGTCATCTAAAGGGAAAAGCAAAAGAGCATTTATCCAACAAGTTACTTATAGTAAGCCTCCTGGGCATTCTTATTTAAAAAGTTAAAATTTTTGTTACTCCAGATAAATGGAAAATACAAATTTAGAATTAAAACAAAACAAAACCAAACCTATTTCATTGTGGAAAACCCCACAAACACAAAAACGAGAGAACAGTACAATAAGCCCCTGTGTACTGTCACCCGGCCTCAATAATTACCAACTCAGGGACAATCTTGTTTTATCTATACCTCCCACATACTTTTCCTCCCATCCCCACTGGATTGTTTTGAAAAATAAAAAAGCTAAAATTCATAAACCCCTTAAGCAAAGATACTCCCTTCTCCCAAGAGATAGATGAAAATGAATGCCTGATTATCCATAAGGTGTTTTATCAGGGTTGTATACAGGATCAGAAGTAACAGCATATTAAGAAGACTCTGTTAGTGTTAAACCCTATATAAAACATGAAAGGTCATGGTATGACATAAGCTGATTTCATTTTGCATAGAAACTCAAAATTAGGATTTGCCACACTAGTTCCTAGCTTTAACAAAAATGCTCTTGTGAAAGTACAGAGCAGAACTATACCTCCCAAGGTTAATCTTGCCCATCTCTCTCAGCTGCTGCTGAAGTACATGAATAGCCATCTTACTCCATTTTGACATATGCTAGCCTCAGACTGCAGGTCAGGTGCTTATGTGAAGTGTCCCAAATTCCATACTGCCCCTCATGCTACTAAACCATCAACTTAGGAAACTGCTCAGGAAATGATGCTCTTATCATAATCCCAATATCCTCCCTCTGAAAGAGCCGATCTGCTGTCAGTAGAAGACACGGTAATGATATGGCAGGTGACCACAGAAAGATGGAACTTCATTATCTAACACGCCCTCTTCCAATGTACTGAGTCACATTTATTAGCTCCTTAGACAAAAACAAGTCTTTGCCAGCATTAGCGCTACCAAGACCGGAAGCCAGGAGCTTGTGAATCACACATGGAAGCTCAGTCAGCCAAACTTTACCCAGGACATAGACATGCCCTCCCTCAACAGACAGAGTCTGTAATCATGTGGAAAAGGAAGGTCCAGCATAATAACTATGTGGACGTTCTTTATGCCTCCTCTCCTCTGCTTCCAAACATAGCTCAAGCTTTAACTTATTCCAGGCTCAAGAATTCTAATTTTATTCTCCACCCACATGGGACTTGGAGCTGAGTTAAAGTCTGGGTAGTAGAGGTAACCTCAAAAGACAAAAAGCAGAGTCAAACGAGGCACGGAAAGCTGGAAGGGGAAGCCTCTGATGGAACGCACAGAGGATGCGAATTTTTTGGCTGCGGAGGGGAGTAAGCGCAAAATTAAGTGACCAAAACAAAGATGAAGGAGGAAGAAGGCTAAGGAAGACATGCAAGAAGAGAGTGGAATAGGAGGGAGTCGATGAGGCACACAAGCAAACGGGAAAGACTCCTTTAAAAGTGGAGGACCCTGTAGGGTCATCAGAAAGGGGGATGGCTTGAGAGAGCTGGAGAGTCTGACGTGGTGTCACAGTATTTAGGTAATAAAGAGGATTAAGTTTCGTATAAGGAAGAGCTGGGTGGGCGGACGAAAAAGAAGGGGCGAATAGCCTTCGGAAGAAGTATGTGGGATCACAACACAGAAGAACAGTCGGGAGTGGCGAAAGGTTTGGTTGGGAGTGAGTTGGAAAAGGTCGGGGGGGGGGAGGTGATCAAGATCCCGGACGATCTGGGGTAGGAGAGAAGGGACCTGACGTAGGCAGGGGTTCCTGGGCTTTGGAGGTCCGAGGGAAGAGGAAAGTCGGGTTGGCTAGAGGCGGGAGCAGCGGCCGAAGGGAACAGAGGGGAGCGCGGGCTTACAGCGAATGGTGTGGAAAGAGGCCCGCGGCCGCTTCTCGAAGCTCTCTCCGAGCCGCAAGCAGTGCTCCTCGCGATCCAGCAGCGGGTTCACGGTCCCGTTCATGGCCCCGCACGAGCCTCGCGCCCGGACCGGCACTCTTCTGGCGCGGCCGCGGCCCGAGTTACCCGCGCCAACGTCCGGGGGAAAGACGCTCCCGAGACTGCGATCCGCTGCGCTCCGCGAGCCCAGCCGGCGACCAACCGGGGCCGGAAGCAGCTCCTCTTCTCCGCGCCGGGTTGGGGGAGGTCGGCGCGGAAGCAGGGCCACGGGACTTCCGGCGTCGGGGAGGGACCTCTGGCTTCGTGGCGGAAGTGGCGGGGGCGGTGTCATGGCAAAGGATTCTGCCGGCAGAGGTACTCCAGGAGGGTTTGTCCCCGCGCCGCGGCTTCCCGAGTCGGCTTCCGAGGCCGGGGCCGGGCTGAGGGCTGAGTGTGTCCGGTCCTGCCCGTCCAGGTGAATGTAAGAACTGATGACGGTGAGCCCGAGCGCGGCGAACTAGTTGAACACGGGTCTAAGAGCCAGGGTGGCCGGCTCTGCGCGGGCCCTGGCGGCCGGGGCTGCCTCGTTCTCCCAAGCGCTCTGAGCCCGACGGATCCTGCCCTGCGCGTCATTGGCCTCTTCTCCTTCACGCATTAATGGAGAAGCAAGAGCCTTAGCCTCTGGGAAGAGACGCCCACTCTGGTTCGTGAGACAGCTTCTTGGGAGTGCGATCAGAGACGCAGGTCCCCGGGCTTAGCTCCTAATTCTCCTCCTCTCCCCACCCCACCTCCAAAGTGAGTGTCTGATTCTTGGGAAACGATAATCCCACTTGACCACCCATCCCCAGATCAGGGAGCTCTCGTGGTTGTAAGTCGCCCCTTTCACGGGCCCCGAAAATAGATTCGTTTTCTCCCCAAGGTTTCTCAGTCAGTTCTTGGGCGTGTCTTTTTTATATCGGATTAGTTCGTGGTGTCACAGTATTTCTGTAATAAAGAGGATTAAGTTTCTAATAGTTGATATAGTAGTTGACTTGTTCTGGTTTGAACTACAGTTCGGTGCGTGAGAGCGCTGGTCACTGAAGGTGAGCTCTCTGAAGGTAGGCACTATGTATGTCTTCGTCTTTGTGACCGACCTCTTGTGTAATGGGCCTGGTTTAGTGTAGAGTCAGCGTCTAGTAAATGGTGAATTGAACTGTTTGGTGGAAGAACTGTTTTAGAACCACTAACCCAGGGTCTCAAAAACTTCTAGAACCAGGAACCGGAACCACCTCCTTTTTCTTGCAAAGCAACCGATGCTGCCTGAGGCTTGAACCCAGCCTGAGAAACCACATCTGAAAAACCCTGCCTGTGTCTGCAGTATCAGCTTGAATTCCTCAGGTTATTCTGGGATGGAGACTCTTCAGCAGTGTTAAATATTTTACCATAAATCTAGGAGATGGCTTCTTTGCAAAGGAAAGGGCTGCAGGCAAGGATTCTTAGCTCTGAAGAAGAGGAGAAACTGAAAAGAGATCAGGCTTTGGTGTCTGATTTTAAGCAGCAAAAACTGGAAAAAGAGGCTCAGAAGAACTGGGACCTTTTTTACAAAAGAAATAGTACTAACTTCTTCAAAGATAGACACTGGACCACCAGAGAGTTTGAGGAGCTCAGATCATGTAGAGAGGTAAGCTAATCTGCAACTTATTTGAGTTGTTTTTCATTTAAAATGTGAAGAGGAACATTGGGGAGGGTATGTGCTATGGTGAGTGCTGTGAAGTGTGTAAGCCTGACGATTCACAGACCTGTACCCCTAGGGCAAATAATACATTATATGTTAATTTAAAAAAAATTTTTAAATGTAAACAGGAGTGTTTATTGCGTTCCAGAGGGGAATGTGAGGTAGAAAATTTACAAAGCTTGTCAAAATGCTTTGTTCCTTAGAAATACACTATTTGGTTTCAAGTAGCTTTAGCAGTTTCTGGGTTATATAATTCATAGGAAAGAGAGCTTTAGTAGATATTTTCTACTTCTTAAATTCAGTCTGAAAGTCGTAAATGTTAATTTCATACTGGGTGACTTCAGTGACAGATAGCTTCAGGATAAAGATGATCAACACTTTACTGTGGCCCTTTTTTAGAACTTTAAATGTGCTCTCTAATTTAAGCCTTGTAAAAACACTGTTGAGGTAGGCATCATGATTATTTCCACTTGCCGGTGAAAGTGAAGCACAAAGCTGTTTAAGTGATTTGGCCAGTGATAGAACACAGGTTGGGGGAGGAGATTCCAGAGCAAGCAGTTTAGTCCCAGAGCCTGTTTTCTTAGCCTTTATGCTTCCCAATGTTGGTGACAAGTGAGGTGTCAGTATTAACTTTAGGTTATCAGTTCATTTGTTTACTGTCGATGGGGGCGCAGGGTGGGGGCAGACACCTTGTCTCTCCTGTTATGAGAGGTATTCTTAGAGTACACTTTGTTTCTTTGTGATGCAAATGTAGCATGTTACGACTTTGGGTCCTCTTTCCTTAGTTTGAAGATCAAAAATTGACTATACTTGAAGCTGGCTGTGGTGTTGGGAACTGTTTATTCCCACTTTTAGAAGAAGATCTGAATATCTTTGCCTATGCCTGTGATTTTTCTCCAAGAGCCGTTGAATACGTCAAGGTTGGTGCTCCATCCATGTGTTCTGTTGTGTTGCTATTTTCTTAGATTTTTCTGACCTCCCACCTTTCTACTCATATGCCTAATTCCTGTCCTCTCTTTGAAGCTAACCAGCTGTGATCACCATGAATATGGTTTTCCTGATCACATACATATATAGTACCGGCAAAAACATAGCTTTTTTCAGAAAAGTAGAGTTACCAAAATGACACCCAGATTTACTGATTGCCAACATTTTGCCACATTTGCTTTATACACTTATTTCTTTGCTGAACTATTTTAAAAAGATTTTACTTATTTATTTGTTTAGAGATGGAAAGAAGGATAACATGCCCACACAAGTGTAGGGAGGGACAGAGGAAGAGAGAGAGCTTTTTATTTATGTTTTAAAAGATTTTATTTATTTATTTGAGAGAGAGAGACTGCAAGAGAGGGAATACAAGCAGGGGGAGTGGGAGAGAGAGAAGCAGGCTTCCCGCCAAGCTGGGAGACCAATATGGGCCTCGATCCCAGGATGCTGGGATCACAACCTGAGCTGAAGGCAAAGGCTTAACCCACTGAGCCACCCAGGTGCCCCAGAGAGAGAACTTTTTAAACAAGACTCTGTGCTGAGTGCAGAGCACCACAAAGGGCTTGATCTCAATGATCCTAGGTCATGATCTGAGCGAAATCAAGAGTTGGACGCCTGACTGAGCCACCCAGGTGCCTCTGCTGAACTATTTTAAAGTAAAGTAGAGATGTCAGGACACTTCCCTCCTAAATATGTCTCCAAACATACTCAAAAAAATAAGGACTTTTTCCTAGGTATCTTTTTTTTTTAATTATTTTATTTTATTTTATTTTATTTTTCCAGTGTTCCGAGATTCATTGTTTATGCACCACACTCAGTGCTCCATGCCATATGTGTCTTATAGCTGCATTTAGTCAAGGACTACATCTTGTACTTCTTAATGTACCTTAAATCTCCTTAGTCTAAAACGTTCCTGCCCTTGACCTTTTCCCCACTGGCACTGAGTTTTTGGAGAGCAAGCCATTTTCTGTAATGCGGTCCCACATTCCAAACTGGTCTGATTGTTAATTCATATCATTGTTCAACTTGTTTCTTTATCACCTGTATTTCCTGTAAACTAGAAGTTAGATTTAAATCAGGTAAAATATTTTTGGCAAAAATACTGTATAGGTGATGTTGTATCTTTGATACTGCATCTTGTCTGGAGGCATTCATGTCTGATAACCCCACTATAAGTGATGCTTTAGTGTTGATCATTGGGTTAAGGTAGTAACTACCTAATTCCTACCTAAAAGGTAGCTTCCTAAGGGGTACAAATATTTATCTTTTGCCATTAACAAATATGTGGGGGATACTTTTTCAAATACTTAATTTTCCATCAACCTTTCATAGTTTTAGCATCCATTAGAAGTTTTGTTGTTGTTTTTTAAGATTTTGTTTATGTACTTACTTTAGAGAGAAAGAAAGTTTGCAGGGGGGTTTGTGGGCAGAGGCAGATGTGGAAGGAGAGGAACATGCTAACTCCAATTGAGCATGGAGCCAAGTGTGGTACTGATCCCAAAAACCCCAAGATCATGACCTGAGCTGAAATCAAAGAGTTGGACAATGAACCCACTGAGCCACACAGGCTCCCCTAGAAGTTTTATTAATAATAGTATCACATTGTACTGTAACTTGCTTTCTTCACTCACATCATATCTTAGTACATGTAGGTCTACCATATTTTATGTGTTGTAGTATTCCATAGGATGGATATACTATAACAGTTACCTGTTGGTATTTGTTTAAATCACTTCTAATTTTTTACTCTTACAAATAGAGTTAATGTAATCAGCATTATGCACTGCTCTCCAAAACACGTGTGTATACTTTTCTCTATGGTAATGGAAGAATTCCTTGGAGAGAAAGCATACACATTTAAATTTTAATGTTTCATATATGTTTTTTAAAATTTAATATATAGATTTTAACATATAGCTACCATTCTAGCTACGCCCTCACCATTTCTTTTTTAAAGATTTTATTTATTTGACAGCAAAAGAGAGCATGCACGCAGGAGTTGTGGGGGGCTCAGAGTGATGGGGGGCATGGAGGCAGAGAAGAAGCAGGTTCTCCACTGAGCAGGGAGTGGGGGAGGAAGTAGGACTCAGTCCCCCCTGAGATCATAACCTGAGCTATAGGCAGATGCTTAACCTACTGAGCAGTTCAGGTACCCTTGCTCTCACCATTTCATATCAGTTTTTTTATATCTCCCAATCTTATGGGCAAAAAGTAATATTTCATATTTTAATGTTTATTTCTTATATATGTAACTAGGCATTAATTTTTCTTGTGATCGTGAGTTCTTTTATTCCACATATATTTATCGAGAGCCTCATATGTGCCAGTTTAAGGGGATTAAGTAGTAAACAAAACGCTGAGATTAAATAGTAAACAAAATACAAAAGAACCGCAGGTGGGGTTTGCATTATACAATGAATTGTCTCTTCATAACCTGTGCTCACTTTTCTGTCATTTTCTTATCTTTATGGTGTATTCTGAATATTGTTAGATTTTTTTGCAAACATTTCTAGTTAGCATTTATGGTATTGTCTTTTTTTTTTTTAAGATTTTATTTATTTGACACAGAGAGATCACAAGTAGGCAGAGAGGCAGGCAGAGAGAGAGAGAAGCAGGCTCCCTGCTGAGCAGAAAGCCTGATGCGGGAGATCCCAGGACCCTGAGATCATGACCTGAGCTGAAGGCAGAGGCTTAACCTGCTGAGCCACCCAGGTGCCCTATGGTATTGTCTTTTGATAGAATTTAAATTATGTGCAAATTTATTAATCTTTTCCTTTCAAGGTTCTAAGCTTTTATGTCTTGTTTGGGAGTTTTGTAACTATGTGTGTGTGTGTGTGTGTATATATATATATATATATATATTTTTTTTTTTTTAAGTTTTGGTTATGTTTTTTAATTAATCTGGAAAAAAATTTTGGCCACTATTTCTTCAGCTCTGTTCTCTTTTCTTCTAAGATTCATTACATATATGTTAAACTATTTGCTATTGTCCCACAGCTCTCGGATGGTGTTTTGATGTTTTGTTTTGTTTTTTAATTTTTTTTCTCTTTGTATTTTCAGTTTGTATAATTTCTTTCATCCTGTCATCAAGTTCACGGTTTCCTTCTAGGCAGTAAGCTTTGATGAACCTTTAGGCAGCATTCATTTTTGTTACTGTGTTTCTTATTTTTAGTATGTCTAATTGATTCTTTTTGTAGTTTCTATTTCTCTGCTGAAATTACCTATCTGATCTTGAATTTTATCTTTTTCATTAGAGCCTTTAATATTAATCACAGTTATTTTAAATCCTCAAACTTCAGTTCCTGTATTGATGTCATATTTGAGTCTGATTCTGATTATTGCTTTATCTCTTCAGACTCTCTTTTCTTGCCTTTTGGTATGCCTTGTAGTCTTTTGCTGAAAGCCAGATATGTTAGATAGGGCAGTGGGATACTGAGGTAATAAGGATTTGTAATAACCTAGACAGGAGTTGAGCTGTGTTTGAAATCTACTGTTGCTATAGTTACCCGTGAGGTTTATTGTTGTTATGGACACCAGAGACTTCAGACTTCTCTGGTGACTTGGTTCATGTCTCCCCTTTTGGCTTTGGGTCTTCTCATTATACTGTTCCTTGTAAAGAGCCAGTCTCTCACAGCTTTCCTAGCTGCAATCCACTGTTGTTATTAGCACTGGACACTTGTTGGTAAGGTGTGGGAGAAGAGATTATTATCCGATTCTCAGTTTCTGAACTGCGTAGTGGGCCTGTGTCCCAGCATGTGATCTTCACAAGTATGTCTGCTGCTCCACGGCTAGAGCTTTTCTCTCCCTTCCCTCCATCAGGAGGTATATACCTGTATCCTCCTTTCTGGTGTTGAGGTCATTCTCCCTTCAGATTAAGACTAGGTTTGGGGTGCCTGGCTGGCTTAGTTGGAAGAGCATACAACTCCTGATCCTGGGATTGTGAGCTGGAGCCCAATATTGGGTGTAGAGATTACTTAAAAAAATAAAAAAACAACAACAAAAAAACCCACCAACTTAGAAAAAAAGATTAAAACTGGGTCTGAGCAGAGTATTTTCCTTCCCCCAGTGGCATTCTATCAGTACCTTAAGGCTGTAGGCCTCAGATGACCTTTCCCCTGCATTTTAAGTCTTCTTCCTTAAAGGAGATGAGAAAGGCCATCCTCTTAGCAAGCCCCATGCTGTCCCCAGAGGAAACACCTATAAGAGGATGGGAACACCTCTGTTACTTCAGCCCCCAGGGACTTCACACTATAACAGCCACACTCAGTCTCCAGCGGTTTACCAAATTTCTAGTTTTATCTTTCCAGTGGGGAGGCCTCAGGGAAACAAATGCCTAGGTTCTGTCTCACCCAGAAGGCACTTCTCTGTCTCCATATTTTAGGATGGCTAGTGGTTCTTTGGCCTCTGTTCTTTAATGGGTTCACCAAAATGTCATTACTTTGCTGTCTGTCCATTTTTTTTCTTACTGTAAGGATGGGAGCTACATTTTTATACCGCTGTATATCTTTGAACTGAAACCAGAAGACCTTTAATTAATCTGGGTAACCAATCATGCTTTAACACAAGTGTGATACTAGTTGTTCAAACACAATAAATTGAATAAGAAATTCATTTTCCTTTCCTGATAATTGCCACCTTTATTATCTATGTTTTTTGATATACTTGTCATCTTTGTCATGTGTCTTTTGTCATACGCAATACTAAATTCCTCTATATAGAGGGGCTCTGTGTTGTGAACTCTCTTCTGTCTCAGTGATTTATTTGTCCCCATTCTCAAACCTTACTGTTTTAGTACTACATTTTGTAGTAAGTTTTGATGTCAGGAGTGTACCTCCTCCTTCAATTAGTTTAAAAGTTTTTTTGCCTCCAGATGAATTAAATTTGTCTTGTCAAGTTTCTAGAAATCTACTGGGATTCTGTTGAGATCGTATTGGATTTAGAAGTGGAATTATAGGTGGAATTGACATCATTTCAGTATTGAATCTACCCATCCATTACCTTTGTGTTTATTCGAGTCCTTATTTATACTACAGAAAAGATTAATATTTTTTTATAATGCTCTTGTAACACCTTACACTTTATGATACTCTTTCTTTATGATACTCTTATGTATTATCTTTTATTGTAATGCTCTTAAACCCACCATCCACCATGTACAGGAACACAGTTGTGGCAAAGGAAAAGAAAAGAAAAGTTAGGTTTACTTAGCTTGCTGCCTCAAGGGAAAATATGCCCAAAGAACTGTGGGAGCATCTTCATGAGTAGATTTGGAAGGACTTGTGAGAGGATTTAAAAAAAAAAAAAAAAAAAAATAGATTTGTAGAAGGTGATTCAAAGGAGGATTAAAGAAGAAATAGGTCAGTTTGCACTTAATCATCCCTTTAGAAATATGTACTTCTAAAATGATCAGCTTTGAATATGTGATAGTTTGTGTCCTCTCCTCAGTTAAAGGTGATTTGTTAAAATGAAATCTTGCCCCTCATAGCGATATTGTCTACTACATGCTTTAGTGTACAAATGCTACATTACTCAGTTTTACCCAGTAACAAAGTGATATTTGATTTTTGTGCAACAGTGCACTAGTGGAAATAGGATCTCTTTTTATTTTTTTCCATTGAATCTCCTTTTGATGCTGTATTTTTCTGTGTGTGTCAACATGGATGTTGCATTAAAATTCCTTTACTTTCTCCCTCTTCTCTAGCAAAATCCTTTATACAACGCAGAAAGATGCAAGGTATTCCAGTGTGATCTAACCAAAGATGACCTTCTGGAACATGTGCCCCCAGAGTCTGTGGATGTTGTCTTGTTGATATTTGTACTGTCTGCTGTTCACCCTGATAAGATGCACCTTGTCTTAAAAAATATTTACCAGGTTAGTGATTTGGAGCCTAGAGGTTGGACATCCTGATATTTTTGCTTACCTCCCTTCTGAGGCTCATGCCTAGATTTACAGAGTCTCCTCATTCTCACTATGGGTAGGCCATGTAGTCAGTATATGGCAGGAAAAATAGTTTCCTCAGGGGACAGTCTGTTAGCATAAGAATCTGAATTCTGAAGAGGTGGATACCAGTGATTTCACTGATAAAGGGTTTCAGGGACTGGGAGAAGTTTGAGACAGGGAGAGAATAAGGAGTATTTAGAACTTTATGGGGATGAGAGGACCTACTGTCAGTACTTCCTTTCACGATTACAGGGAGGTCCTAATCAGCTCAAAAAGACAACAAAAAAAGATGGAGAAAAAAACAAGGATGAGAGACAAAACTCATTATTTGTAGATAATGTAATTGTCTGACTAGAAAATATTGAAAGACTATGAAAGTGTAAGATGAATATAATGTACTTATAAAACGTACTGAGCTATATACCTAAAAAAGAGTAACATGCATTGTGCAATTTTACTTTTCCATTTAGTATTATACATTTTATTAATTTTTTTGTTTGGCTGTTTTGGGGTTTTTTGGTAGGGTGTTCCATTCCCCCCGCCCCCGCCAAGGAGATTGACAAACTGATTCTAAGTTTACTTGAAAGAACAAAGGGTCAGAACACTCCTGACAAAGAATGAGATGGGAGAGATTGATACCCTACCAGATATACCAGATATAAGGACTTACTGTTGCAGTGATTAAGACAGAATAGTGTTGGCAGAGGGACAAATTGAATGTGATAGCTTAAAAATCCATGCATAAATAGAAATTTGCTGTATGATGGAGGTGACGATGAAGATCACTGGGAAAAGAAGGACTGTTGAGTGAGTGGCTACTGGGACCACTGAGTGTCCATGCAGGAGAGAATGAGATTACCCTCCTCACATCCTCCACAAAAGTCATTTTCAGGTGTATTAAAGACTTAAATGGAAAAGATAAAAGTTTAAGCCTTTCAGAAGAAAATATAGGAAAGTATCTTTATGACCTCCGAGTGGGGAAAAATTTCTCAAGACCCGAAGCATTCTAAGCATAAATATGATTATAATAAAAGTAGGAGTTTCTGTTCTTCAAAAGACAATATTATACAAAGGAATTTAAAAACAACTTGGGAAAAGTAATTTGAAGTCCGTAGAACTGATGAAAGATTAGTATCCAGAATTCCTGTGTAAGAAAAGGAAACAAATTAATAGAAGAGTGGCAGACATGAATAGTTGTTTTATTGAAGAGAACACACCTACGAAAAGATAACCTCAGTAACCCAGGAAATGTAAAATAAAACCCCAGTGAGACTCTGTTAGATTTGCCAGAATTAAGTCTGACAAAGCCAAGTGTTGTTGAGGATATGCCTATTCTTGATTTAAATGAAAACATATACTATCTATATTTTAATAGTAATGAAGTGTTAATATATATTTTTTTAATTGAGATGATCTGTCTCAATCCACACTTGTCCCCTGACCCTCATTGTAATCTTTCTTTAGTAGCAAATTCCATTTCAGCAATCCTTTCTATTTTTACCCCTAATAGAAATCTTTTTTCTGCTGATGTGGAATGAGTTCACAGCCTAGTGGATTGCCGGCTCTCTGCCTCATGCATAGTGACTGGCTCCTTGATTTGAAATCGTGTGCTTCATCAGGAAATTACCAGAAGGAGAAGCGATCTCTCAGCCTCTGACAATAATAAGACAGACACCCTTGGGGCAGCTCTGAAGCCTTGCATGAGCAACCACAGTAATAAGCTGTTTTAAGGTAGATGTGATTACTGTAGAGTGTTGACACCAGAGAATTTGTTAAACTACGTAAGTTTAAACTGAAAGATAACCTTCCGTCGTTTTGGAATAGAATAATGAAGTAAAAATAGACAAAATTCTCTCACCAGGAGACCTGGGTATTTGCCAATGCCACCAACTTGCCTTGAAACCTCAGGCAAGTCACTTTGACTCTGAGCCTTACTTGCTGTAAAGCAGGTGTAACAGACCTGCCCTACCCTACTTTCTGGGGGTGTTTGGAGAGTGAGGAAACATAACAGTGAGAAATTCCTGGTTAGCTATACAGCACCAGGATTAAAGGAGGCATTAGTATCAAACTTTTTTACCCACAGGAAAACTCAGGGATGAAATTACTTGCTCAAGGTCATTCAGCTAGTTATGGAAGAACAGGAATATGAATCCAGATTTCCAAATTCCTGAGTGAGTGCTCTTTCCACTCTCCCTGTAGCCCTTTCTTCATTCTATAATTAAGAATAAGTCTTTTTCATATAAATTAAATTTTTCAGAATTTTCTTGGCAACTATTCACATTTTTTAAAATTTAGCATCTCGGACTAAGCTAAGGTAGGTTGTATTTATCCAGGAGGCTCTTTATGGACAATATTTAAAACGCATGCTTGCATTGATAGAATTTACTAAATGAGGAAATCTGCAGCACACTTGGAAGTATTAGGGACAGTCTTTCCTACTCTGTTCAGAAGAGGAAGTACATCAAACTGCATCAAAAATCTGTTGTAATAGTATATGTCATGTCTTAAAAATCATCTTACTGATGTAATGAATCAGAATAAGATTCTGTAAAGTCCTCTCTTCCTTGGTAGTGTTAATGTAGCTTGAAGGAATTCTCACATAAAAAGCAAATGTCATAATGTGTACCCCTTTTCATTCTGAAAAGCATATGGTGTTTGCTTTGTAAGTTAGAGGTGGTTGTACCTACATCCTGCTGAAGCCACCTCCCAGTTTTTGAGACACCTATCTCTGAAAGGCTTTAGTGAGGGACTCCCAGCTGGGCCTGCCACTGATCCCCTTCCCTGCACTACTGCACTGGCCTGAGGGTGTTCTACCAAGAAGCACAGTGCAAGAGAAGAATACTCAGTTACCCCTCCCCCCATAGCCTCTCTTTTTTGTCAGTAGTTTGGATGGAATTGGAAATAACACGTCCCCCTACACCTGTCCAGGTCCAGGGCTAAAAGATGTCTCTGGTCTACTTTGTGCTGCCTTTTGACCCAAATGTGAGTCTTGACTCCCCCACTTAGTGGCCTCTGTGAATCATGGACAAATCACTTACCTGGTGTCTATTTCCTCATCTCACATGAGGCTAATAGTCCTTCCTCCCTCCTGTCAGAGAAACTGCAGAGTGCTGTCAACTATTATTAGCATGGTGGGCACGCTCTGCATAATTTTAGCACAGTGGACCCCATCTGAGACTCAGAATGAGGAAAGCCAACAAGAAGCCGTAAGAAGACGAAATGACATATTTTTTTAAAGAGACAGTTTGCCTGCAGGGTCATATACTAGGAGATGGTTAATAAAATGTTGGGAGAACATGCTTTAAAGAAGATAAGTCTATTTTCATTTAATGTCATTAACATTTTAATTCTGTGACACTAGACCTTGTAAGTGCTGAGAAGTATTTCTGCAATGTATGGGGCCCTGCAGGTGTTGCTATATCTTTAGGAGGCCCTTTTTCCTTCATACTATGGATAGTTCAGTCTGGTTCCTTGTAGGTTATTTTGATCCCTAAACAGTCAGATTTTATTTTAAGTTTTATTGAGCCATCAATATGTTAAGTGCCACCTGCTTTTGTTTCATAGGTATTAAAACCAGGCAAAAGCGTCTTGTTTCGGGACTATGGGCTGTATGATCATGCCATGCTCAGGTTTAGAGCTGGCAGCAAACTTGGAGAAAACTTCTACGCTAGACAAGATGGAACCAGATCATATTTTTTTACTGATGGTAAGTTTAATGAAATTTGCTTTTATTTCTGCATTATTCATTACATGCATTATCACTGTGGTCCTGGTTGGGGTGGGCGCGGCATTGCAGAGCACACATGCACAGGGTCCTGGCTGGATCCATCTCCAGCACACACCACTCACCCAGCACCTGGGATGACAGGGACACAGCTCTCACCATGGTGCGCTCACAAGCCTCCTCTGGTGATGGTGTCCTGTTAGCGAGCCTGGGTTAATGGACTGGCTCTGACATGCCACGTGTATGCCCTATCAGGAACTGTGCTGGAAAAGGCGGAGGGCAAAGCAGGATTTTCACATTGTTCAGTCACAAAACAAGTAGGACAGGGGCCCCTGGCTGGCTTATTTGGAAGAGCATGCAACTCTTGATCTCAGGGTTATGAGTTCAAGCCCCATGTTGGGTGTAGAGATTACGTAAAAAAAAAAAAAAAAAAAAAGTAGGGCACCTGGGTGGCTCAGTCGTTAAGTGTCTGCCTTCACCTCAGATCACGATCTCCGGGTCCTGGGATGGAGGCCCACATCAGACTCGCTGCTCAGTGGGAAGCCTGCTTTGCCCTCTTCCAGTCCCCCTGCGTATGCTCCCTCTCTATCTCTCTCTATCTCTCTCTCTGTGTCAAATAAAACAAAAAAAACAAAAAAAAACTTAAAAAAAAATAAATAAACTTGGAAATACACACAGAAGAAGGATTGTATAATGTCTGGAAATTCTCTTCCCAGGTCACAAAGGCAAGAAATCTTTGTCTTTGTCTGTAAAGGTGTTAAGTACACAAATTTGCTATAAAGGGGTCTTTCAGAAGTCATTTTGATAAAAACATCAAAACACTGATCACCATTTCAGTCTTAATACTTGGTATTTTGAGCCTGCGTAGTGATTTGGACCATAAAATACATATCTTCTTAAACTCTATTTTTATAAACATTTACATGTCTTGAAATGAAATATTCCTCTGGGTTTAGAATGAAATAAAAAATGAGTGATTACCATTAAAATAACTCCACAAAGTCACAAAAATGTCAGGTGAAAATTAAAAATTTGTTTTAATGTTTCTGATTCATGAAATCTGAGCCAACCAATTGCAGGTAATTGAGAAGATGCAGTGATGTCTGCGGAGTGCTTTGGAGCACATTCTGCAGAGTAATGCTCTTACTAGGAGTATTTTTGTCACATAGCCATTCTATTTGTTTCATTTAACATGTAGTGATGGATTATTGGGGTTAAATTATTGAGGTTGAATAAAGTCACAAAAGTGTCGGGTTTCCCCACTCTGGTCACAGCTGTTCCTCCGTCATGTTCAGATAGATGAGGTGTTTGATGTAAACACATTGAACACATGAAGACTACGTATAAATATAGCCAGTTTGGAATTGTGTTTCTTTTTACTTGGACTTCTGTATTTGGGGTCTTATAATAAGAGGGTAAGGTGGCCATACTGCAGGTTGTCCTTAAACTTTTCTGATTAACTTATTTAGTTGAGGGTTTCAATTTGGGTGCAAGAAGACAAGTAGCAGTGTATCACTTTCCAAAACAACTCCTATAAATTTTAGCATGGGAGCTTTTTTTACATTAAAAAAAAACAAAAAAACAAAAAAAAAAAACCCAAAAAGTCCACCTGGGTGGCTCAGTGGGTTAAAGCCTCTGCCTTTGGCTCAGGTCATGGTCCCAGGGTCCTGGGATCGGGTCCCATGTCCAGCTCTGCTTAGCAGGGAGCCTGCTTCCCCCTCCCCCCGCCGCCTGCCTCTCTGCCTACATGTGATCTCTGTCTGTCAAATAAATAGAATCTTTAAAAAAAAAAAATTCCTTCCATCACCCCTGCCCTCCTCTTTACCACTGCAGAGCAAATGTAGTAGTATCAAGACTGTGAGCATTGTTGATCTGCTTGCCTTACAGAATTCCTGGCTCGGCTCTTTATGGACACAGGTTATGAAGAAGTGGTGAATGAGTACGTGTTTCGTGAAACTGTGAACAAAAAAGAAGGCCTGTGTGTGCCAAGAGTTTTCCTTCAGAGCAAATTCCGAAAGTGTCCTAAGAACCCATCTCCTGTGACCCTGGGCCTGGATCCCAAGTCCTGACTTTTCACGAGGTTGACGTTTATGCCTCCCCTCGTAGAGGAAAGCTTAAAGTCACACTTTATTTTGGATATTTTTATATTTTTTTAAATGAGGATGTGTAATTTTTATATTAAAAAGTAGCAGATGTCTTGTGTGTGTTTTATAGAAATGCAAATAAAATTGCCAGGCCTGAAAAGTAAAGGAAGTTTTATGGTATGATGTAACGAAGCCATGCTCTCTGACTAAAATTCCACGAAGGAGAAAGCATAAGCACTTAGAGATCCTTGCTGTCAGTCCTGTGATTCGGTAAGTATGTCTCTAGGCAGCATGTCAGGCAACCCTGTGGGAAAATGAGGTCAAATAGACTAAAATAACACATCTAAGTATATTTTTAGCCTGAAGGATTGTTCTCTTTTGTTCTCTTCCCAGTGTCTCTCATTTGCCCATTTCTCCCCGCTTCAGTTCATTTATGTGCCTCTTCAAGACCAGAGTTTCACAAATGCAGCTTTTCCTAGGACTTAAGAACCCACCATGGCTCCCTGCCTAATTCCTGAAAGGACAGTCCTACCCCTTAAAGGAGGGACTGCAGAGTTTTCACTTGGAATATTTAAAGTTGGCCTGTAAGCTACTATCTACCTTGGACACTGAGCAAGGTAACCTCTCAGTGACCCACTTTAAAATACAATGGTTGTAAAATCTACTTAAATGAAGGACGTGACATATCTATCAGAGTTTTAGTTATGAGCCAATGGATTAGATGAAGAAACAACAAAAATAAGGCTAAGTATTATAAAAACAAGGCTTCAGTTTCCCTGCTTCTGTGTCCCCCCGTTGATTCTCCCCAGGCAAACCTCTGTTATTGCTCCCTAGGTTAAGACGTAGAACAGCAGGGATTTCCTTAGGTTGGTGCCCAGGGACGAGGAAAGCAAAGCCACAATTCAGTAGCAAAACTTGAACATCGTTTGTTGAATCATAGACTACAGAGTTCACCAATATTGCCTTGTCTTCACAGACAGAAAGCAGCTCCAGAAAGGCAGTGAGTACTAGTTAAAAATATTATAGGGACATCTGGGTGGCTCAGTCGTTGGGCATCTGCCTTCAGCTCAGGTCATGATCCCAGGATCCTGGGATTGAGCCCCGCATCGGGCTCCCTGCTCAGCGGGAAACCTGCTTCTCCTCCCACTCCCCTTGCTTGTGTTCCCTCTCGTTGTCTCTCTCTGTCAAATAAAATCTTAAAAAAAAAAAAAAAATGATAGAAAATAGTGTAAGTACCATAGTATTATATGGTATGTGTACTACATAATATATATATTACTGTACCTTGGAGTATGAGGTACTTCTTTTGAGTTTTTGGCATATACTACATACAGTAATGCTAATAAATTTGTGTCATGTGATTTGGAAATCTGGGTTCAAGTGCAGGACTTTGCCTCCCACAAGTCACCCGCTCTTCGGAGCCTCAGCTTTCACATCTCTTAAGGCTGAGCTCTTTGTGACCTATAGCACAGAGCAGCTGCCAGGACTGAATGAGATCATTCACTTGGGAGTGCTTTGTTTACTAAAAAGTGCCAGCCAGGTGCTAGTTATTTCTGTTAGTTTGTATTCCCCAAGAAAATACCCTCTCCCATTGTTAAATCCTAATTCCTCTTCCAGACCACTATCTTTTTAAATCTTGAGGTCCTCAAAAGGGCCTGAGATTGGGATGTGTTGCCACAAGGTGGCGCTAAATGCTCAGTAATCCACTTGGCCTTTGCTTTTTTTTTTTTTTTTTTTTTAAGAGTTTATTTATTTGACAGAGATCACAAGTGGGCAGAGAGATAGAGGGAGGAAGCAGGCTCCCTGCTGAGCAGGGATGCGGGGCTCAATCCCAGGACCCTGAGATTATGACCTGAGCCAAAGGCAGAGGCTTTTTTTTTTTTTTTTAAAGATTTTATTTGTCTATATGACAGAGAGCACAAGTAAGCAGAACAGCAGTCGGAGGGAGAGAGAGAGAAGCAGGCTCTCCGCTGAGCAGGGAGCCCGATGCGGGGCTCGATCCCAGGACCCTGGAATCATGACCTGAGCTGAAGGCAGCCGCCTAACCCACTGAGCCACCCAGGCGCCCCAAGGCAGAGGCTTTAACCCACTGAGCCACCCAGGTGCCCCCTTTGCTCCCATTTTTAATTCTGGTTCTAGCCGTGTCTGTTTTTATTATCATTGAAAAGAATGGAAAATGCTTACAAATGTGTTTTTGAGGTAAACTTTATCTTGTAAGATCAATTTTGGCCTCACTGTGGAAATGAGAAGTAAGGATACTTTTATGCAGCTTTCAATCTACTTTACCTGCTGAAGGTAGTTTGCTTTCAGCTGAATTTGGGCAACATTTTAGGCAGTAGGCTCTGAGTGTGTCTGCAAGGCCTCCCCACCCCTCTTTCATCCCTGAATGGTTCTGTAGATTAATTTTTACTGTTGCTAGGGATTAAAGCAAAGAAAAAGAAAGGACTGTAGCCTGGATCCTTGTTTGCCTCACACATTATTCATAGTCATCTTTGACAGCATTTGGTTTCCTATTTCACAGTAGTCAAGCAAGGAAGGGAAAATTGTGAAATAAATCATGGGCACCGAGAGAGTGAAGCGGGACCATGTTTGCTGTTGGGAAGCAAATATTTAGTATAAATTTAAATAGGCTCTGTCTCTGAGACCAAGTATTCCATTAGAAATAAAATTAGCTACTTTTCACTTTTCTGCCGCCCTTAAATGTGTGGCATTTCACTAGATAGCGTTTGGTAAGTACTCACTGGAAACTGGGTGCGGTGGGGTTGCTCTGGCTGGAGTACAGGAATGGGGTGAGAAGATAGTGTGGATCCATGCCGAGAGGCATGGAAGCAGCCCAACCATATCTTCACTAAACCAAAGTTTGACAGCTAGGAAGACAAGCACAAATACCCCAAATATCAGAAGAAAGAAAAAGAGGAAGAGAAGCAATGGAAAACCTGAGGGTGGCAACTGTCACCCTCACTTGGAAAGACTATTTCCACAGTTGTCAGTAGAGACGTCATTTGCCCTGGTGTAGGACATAGCCATGGAGATGAGAATGTGACGCAGAGCTCCTTTACAGTAACTTCCTAAACACATCTAGAAAAATATCATGACTAGCAAAGTGAGATCATTCCTAGAGGAAATACAACTTCTAACAAAATGGGTCAGCTCTAGTTAGAAACAGTTATCTGGTTGAGACCCCCCTTCTTTACCTATCAAATGAATAAAACTTAAAAGCAGTAATACTTAATGCTGGTAAAAGGATGGAGGGATCAATCATGGAGATAAAAAAGTATGGCTTCTCTAAAACAGCACTATCCACTGGAACTTTCCGAAGTGATGGAAATAATCTCTGCCTGCATTGTCCAATATGGTAACTACCAGCCACGTGTGATTACTAAGGACTAAGGCTAGTGGCCAGTGCAACAGAGGAACCAGTTACATTTGAATATAAATGTAGCCACATGTAGTTAGTGGTTGGTTACCATATTGAACAATACTAATCTAGAACACAAGCATTGTGTAGCAAATTTCATAAATCTATACATAATCTTTGATCCAGTAGTCCCATGTTTGGGAATCCAATATAAGGAAATATAGAGGTATTTATACAAACATTTTCATGAAAATGCTATTTAGAGCAGTGTAAAGGTGACAACAGCTTAAATATCTAAAAATAGAAGATTGGTTATATAAATTACACCATAAACTAAAATGTTGTACAGTCATTAAAACTTAATAAGAAAATGCTCATCATATAATGTAAGTAAGCAGGAATATAAAAATGTAGAGAAGAATGGTTTCAATTATGTTTAATAATAAATATAAAAAATTAGATATATTAAAAAAAAACACCTAGGAAGGAACCAATTTAAAATGGTTAAAATATTTAATTCAGCCTTGTTCAATTACAGCTGATACTTTTTCTTCATTATACATTTCTGAAACTTTCATGTTTTCTGCAATCAGCATATACTGCTTTTACATTAAGGGGGGGGAAATGTGATTTAGCATCCTCAGAACTCCTTTCCAAAACTCACAAGTTAACTAAGATCTTTGTGACAAATCTGCTAGAAATGCCATTTCAACCTTTAAGATTCTTACCCCTTAGAAGCTAGAGGACACCTCCCGAGAGAGAGTGAGTATCTTAGGATAGTCTTTTTGTTCCCAGTGCTCTGGAGTCATGGTGTGGGGTCTCAGATGGCAGGAGTTTTCATCTGTTGGGCTGGGCTCTCCATGGCCTCTGCTCTGAATCTGGAGATGCACATCCCCCAGTTTGGGGAAATTTACTCAAATTATTTATAATGATTCCTCACCACTAGTAGCACACACACACAGAGGCTCATTCTCTTTCTGTAACTCTTACCATGAAAATGAACTTTCTGAACCAATACTATACTTTTATAACCTGTTCTCTCTTTTCCCACCATCTCTTTTATTTCATGTCTTGCTTTCTGGGAGATTTGATTCAGTCAGAATCCTCCACTGAGTTGTTAATTTCTGCTTTTGTATTTTTAAATTCCAAGAACACTTCTTTATTCTTTCAATGTTCATTATAAAAATAGCAACTTAGTCTTGCTTCATAGATGCAGTGTCTTCTTTCTCTCTGTGAGGCATACGTTCTCCACGGGAGCACTTTTGTCTTCCAAGGGCACAAAAATTGGTTCTTTGGGGGTTGGCAAAAAACTTAGATCTTACAATGATTTGTAATGATTTTTGATCTTCAAAACCCAACCTTATCTGACAAAATCATCTTCTTTAATTTCTCTCATTAGGGAAAATAAAATTGAATTCCAATTTTTCTCCTTAGAGGTGTGACCTCAGTTTTCCTCTCTCTGCATAGTCTTCATGTATTAGTCTGGGTTCTCCCGAAAATCAGAACCAATTATATGGAGATAGATAGAGACAGAGATATATACATATGCTATATATCTTGAAAACCAGCCCCTTGGTTTGGGGAACCAACCGCTTGTGCAGTCAAAAACCTGCAATAAGTTTTGACTCCCCAAAAACTTAACTACTGCAGCCTGCTGGGGACCGGAAGCCTTACTGATAACGAAGTTGATTAGCATATGTTTTGTATGTTCTCTGTATTCTGTACTATATTCTTACAGTCAAGTAAGCCAGAGAAAAAGTCAGGAAAATCATAAAGAGAAAATACATTTACAGTACTGTGCTGTAAAAATCCGCATATA